TAGTGGCACGTAATCTGACGCAGTGACCTGCATCGTGACCCAGTAACCTGTAATCTGATCCTATGGTGATCAATCTCATTGACCTGCAATCAACACATTGACACGCAACGTGACCCAACAGTCTGTATCATCTTAACTTCGTGGTCTGCACTCGAACCATGATCTGCAGCCTGGCCCTGTGACCTGGCATGTTGCAGCCGCGTCTGAAATTCCACCTGTCCTGGGCGGGTGCTTAGACCAGTGCCTGTCCCGCCAGTGTCGTGTCAAGAGATCCAGTTGTCCTCCGCTGATGACCACAACTCGCTTACCAGCTGTTTCGAGATGTTAACTTACGTTTTTTTTTGTACAAAGAAAACGGCTCCGACAGTGAAACCACCCATGGATATAGTTGTGCTTACGGATATATGTAACCTCCTTTAATATCAATGTGCTCGTTGTCTGCATTCGTCTACGGTATGTTGTACTAATCAGTTATTTCATCAGGTTAGTAGCTTAATGTCCGTTGCCGCATGCCAGTAATGATGATTATAAGGCACCGCACGAAACGACAAAGGTTTGTCTCGTGAGATTTATCAGGTGTTGTCAACTTGAAATAATCGCGTTCGCAGAAGGCAGGATACTGGCACGCCAAGTGTCGCGATACCTATGCCCGAGCCACTAAAGCGGCGATGGAAGTAGGGAGGATCGCCGCTGCGGTTTTTCTGTCATACGATACCGAATGTGATCGTCATCGACATTATATTTACTCAATCTCGGAGTGTCACGTTCCGTGATAGACGAAGTCTGATGTTGAAAATAAACCTGTTCCATTGTCTTATTTCGTTTGGCATCCTCCGTCAGACGGAAGGAACTTCGGACACGATGGTGAAATGACTAGCCCGAAGGCCGAGGATAAGTGGCAGCACGTTGTGTGTGTGTATCTGGGAGGGTGGGAGGCATTGGGAGGAGGAACTACTGTTCTATGCACAAAAGGGGACCGATGTGTGGCTCCGTGTACGTCTGCAGTCGCTCAGTACAGGCGATGAGAGATGTCCCAGGACAGCAGCTGTAGCCTGAGCGGCGCATATTCTGAATACATGAAGATCGCGTCTCGCACATGAAAGGAAGGACGCCTTCAAGAACAAGGGTTATAACACCGAACAGCAGAACAAAACAGCTGGGCATATCCTGTGCCCGGTTTCGTCACGAAAACACTTATAAGACGCTTGGTTATAGCTCCATATTTGCGTACATTCTGGTAACGAGATAGTACAACCCGAACACATTGTATACCCGAGATCATTCAAGCAATCCACCCGCATTAACATACGTTGTCACGCGGTATCGCTGCCTACGAGGCACCGTTTTTGTAATGTTCGTTACCTCCCGCACGCAGCAACAGCTCGTAGGCTATTATCCACTGTTGCCGTACCCTTGAAAACCAGTGGATGAGAGCACGGCCGCTAACCCCGCAGTGGACCCATCATGATTCAGGTTGGCAGGACGGCCCTAGCGGGCAGTGGCCATGCCTGATTGGGCTAGCAAACGAGCTGGTTGCCAAGCTGCCCGGTTCGTCGCGTCTTCGGCGTGCAGTTCACCACCAGGGTCGATAAAACGGTTACAAGTTCGGACGCAGCTGGAACAGGTCACAGGATTAGGTTACGGTATATTGGTTAGTTGGCAGATCATGGGGTCAGGTTGCAGTTCATTGGTCAGGCAGCGCATCAAGGGCCACGTCTGTAATCCCGGGGCCAGTTTACGGGTCACCGGGACAGGCTGCAGGCCATGGGGCAGGTTGAAGGTCACGGAGGTATGTTGCAGATGGCATCCAGGACACCACCTAAATAGTTCATCTTGGCGTTCGGAAATCGGTGGAGAACAGCTGGAACTCAAGACACCGCGACAACAAAGGCAAGCCGCACGGTAAGTTCATCGTTGGCAAACACTTCAGGCAAACAAGAAAGCCATAATAGCGCGGTCCCTTTGGAGTTCGGCATCCTGCGGCACAACAGTGATGGAAACCCAACGTTGACTTCCGCTGTGAGTGGCCTTGAAGTAGAAAGAGCAATCACTTTTGATACAGCGTACCGGTCCAAGTTTTGTGTGTATCGTGATCAGAAGGCTACCATGTATCAACACACGGATTTTGGAAAGGATTGAAGGAGTCCGCACTTTTTATTGTGATCTTTCACATCGTGATATCAACGGTGATAGCGCGTACCGGTCCAAGATTTTGTGCTCATTGTGCTCAGCAGATCAAACTACATCTGTATGCAAACTTCTAGCTCAATTCGAGGAGTCCACTGAATATCGAATATGAATCTGGGTCAGGCATAATAAAATGCAGTACGTGCTCCTTTCGCGACCTCGATGTTAGAATAGCTATAACTTTTTTGATACTGCGTAGCGGTCCAAGATGTTGTATTTATCGTTATCAAGAAGTCAACATCTGCCTGCACGCGGAGTTCAGAAATAATTGAAGGAGTCCGCCTTTGTATTGTGATCTTTGATATTGATATATCTCCGGTAATAGGGCGTACCGGTCCGAGATTCTGTGCTCATTGTGCTCAGGAAGATTAAACTGCATTTGTGTGCAAAGTTGGAGGTCAATTTGAGGAGTCCGTTGAATCCCGAATATTGACCTGAAGCTGAATGTGAATGTGGTGCGAACTTAACGGACGTAACGTTGGGACAGACCCAAGGCTATCTAACGACAGCAGACCTAGGAGTTGTTCTAGGGCCCTGGGGCAGTCTAGCATGTGCCTGGAGGGCCAATCGCCGAGCTTAAACCTGAGCATGTGCGCTGGGTACCCGGTCGGGGTCCCCCTTTCCACGGGGCTCTTGGCCCACTCGTAGCTGGCGCCAAGGCCCTAGAACAGAACGTATAAACGTCCGGCCAAATTCCGCTGTTTCGACTGATGACGTCACAGGTGTACTCGGTACGTAATGTTCAACGGCGGATGCACGCCTACCGCAGTTTGCTTGGCTGTTTGAAAAGGTTCTAAGGCTGGAAGCCGTTAAATATTTTTGGTTAGATCATAACAAGACTATTTATTGTCCGAACAGGCCATTATATGAGCTCCAAGGTCTATTAACACGCGCCCAGGTAGCCGGCTAGATACCATTCGCTCGGGTGGGGGTCAATTTGACCCCCCCCCTGCTGAGATCTCGGAAACTAAGAAAGCTAGAGACACAAAATTTACAGGTTGTGTTGACCTGTACGTGAACTCAGTGCTTTCAAGTTTGCGGTTACTAGGTCATGACCTTCAGGTCAAACAAGGTCAAACAAGGTTAAATTCCAGGATGGCCTCTAAGGTGCCCCCAGAACCTAGACGACTGTTTCTAAGCAAAAGGCCACAAGCCAATTTGAGGTCAGTGACCTTGTTTGACCTTCTCAAGGTCATGGTGACCAAAATTATACAAGACTGCTGTAAGTTTTGCACTTGAATAAGCGACACAGATTACGCTTGGCAGTATGTTCCTAAAACAAAATGTCAACCCGGGTCATCTTAGGTCAGTGACCTGTTATGACCTCTAAGAAATCAATGGAAGATGTACAATGCGGTTCCTGATGTCAATAAATTCGAAATGAGCACTAGAAACTATCCCATACAGGGTCCATCCGAAAATCAGTGTCTTTGGGGTGGGATTTTGCGTAATTTCCGAGTTATACGACGAGTAACACCACAGTTGGATATTCCGGAGCGTCCCGATTGCCTCCAGATTTGCTGTGCAGGGCCTTCTCAACACGCTGATTCCAAAAATCACTGCCTTTGGGGTGGGATTTTACGTATTTTCCGAGTTATACGCCGCGTAACAACCCAGCTGGATATTGCGGGGCGTCTCGATCGCTTCCAAATTTGGTTTGCAGGGCCTTTTCAACACGCTGCCCACCGGTGTGTCGACGCCGCCGTCCGGCCGGCTATCAGCTGGCGGGCCCCCTGACCACCGGTGTGTCGACTCCGCCGGCCTGCCCGCTATCAGCTGCTCGGGCCCCCTGACCACCGGTGTGTCGCCACCGCCGTCCGGCAGGCTCGCGTAGTGCAGCGTCTCCACCACGGTCAGCAGCAGTGGGGTGATGTGGCCGGCCAGCCAACAACATGGGCATGGCGTGCACAAGTAGCATGCGTTGCTCCACCAGCGTCACCATCGTCCTTGGGAGATAAGACAGACGGTGACATCACCAAATCTTCAGGCTCCAGCGGTGAGGCACGACTGGTTTGGTCACCAGCGACATTTTGTCAGTTTTTGGTCAGGACAAACAATGGCCGTGGCTACGTCGGATTATTACTCCACCACCTCAAAAGTCAGAAACGAAACAAAGCTGAGAGAGACGCCACTGGGTGATACCACCAAGTCAATAATATACCACACGGTTATCGCTCACATCTCGCGAACTGACCTTCTGCAATGAACTGATACGGACAGGCCCAAATGCGAATTTCAGGACACGTATCCAAAGCGCAACTGAGGTGTCACGCGTCGTATAACTCGGAAGCTACGCAAAATCCCACCGCACAGACCGTGATTTTCGGAATCAGCGTGTTGAGAAGGTCCTGCACACGAAGTTTAGAGGCAATCAAGACGCCCCGCAATATCCAACTCGGGTGTTACGTGTCGTATAACTTAAAAGTTACGCAAAATCCCATACCAAAGGCAATGATTTTCGGAATCAGCGTATTGAGAAGGCCCTGCACACCAAGTTTGAAGGAAATCGAGACGCCCCGCAACATCCAACTGGGGTGTTCCGGGTCGTATAACTCGGAAGTTACGCAAAATCTCACCCCAAAGACAATGATTTTAGGAATCAGCGTGTTGGAAAGGCTATGCACACCAAATTTGGAGGCAATCGAGGCGCCCCGCAATATCACATTAGGATGTTACGCGTCGTATATCTCGGAAATTACGCAAAATCCCACCCCAAAGACGGTGATTTTCGGAATCAGCGTGTTGAGAAGGTCATCCACACCAAATTTGGAGGCAATCGTGACGCCCCGGAATATCCAACTGGCAATTGGATATCAAGCTGCTGCTAGATTGGGGGACGTCAGCGCCTATTCCCCACGTTGTTTACAAGGGTTGCCCCGAAACGCATGTACGAAAAAAAAAATATGCGCCCCGATCACGTAGCAGGCTGACGTCCCAGGTGACGTAGTTTTGTACATTACGTTGTGGAGCTGGTGAGCAGAGAAGTCTCATCCCAAAGAAATGGTGCAAACCATGCTCTCCTGGTTTTGGCCAAGTTTTTCCTCAGTTGGGGAGGGGCTAGCAATAGCATTGTATCCAGCTAAATAGGGAACTACGCACTTGCTCCCAAATTAAGTACATCCAGGTCAGTAAAAGCCTAGGCGGGTATCACATTGCCCCAGAATCATTCCTCTGGGTGAGAAAGGTTGTACCTTGGCTATAATGTAGATGCCTTACTACCATGCATCAGAGGCCCATATTTACATTGTGGCTTGCATGACATTTTAATCAAACTTAACATGTGCTCCAGAGAATGGTGCAACAGGTGCACAACATTTAAGCATCCGGTTCTATCAGCCCTTATTTGGACTGACACCTTTACAATATAGTTATCAATATCTACAACTTTCCACCAGCTCCACAGCTTAAAAATGCAGTAGGTGCAAGCATACTTAGGAAGGAAACACTTATTTGCAAATCTAGAAAAGCTAAGAATTACAAGCAGTCAATTTCTACTGGTCTTTGGCAATCACAGACCTGCTAGAGCCTGGTGGTTACTGTCATGTGCTGCTGAAGAATGTCCTTAAGTGCCAGGTGCAAGTGCAGTGTAAATTTACTTGGGTTATTTGTTCTCACTACAAGCCATGGTTTTAACAGATTTGTTTTCTCCTTCATGAGCCAAAATCAAATTTCAAATACTGTTACTTTGCCAATGTGTGTGACATTGCCTGATGTTCCTGTCACAAGCTTGTTGATTGAACCAAATGCTGAAATAAGTAATTACCTGGCCATATTTACACAGGCTGTAGTGTGGAATATCCACGCTACTGCCTATCGGTGCGCAATGATGCAAACATTGCACAAGTAAGACAACTTGCAGGCTCAGTCATTGCGAATCTACAATGCCTGCCCTCCATGGGGTGCCGTGGGTTCTAGGCAATGTCATATAATAGCTTTCTGGTCATGTGGCAATTGCATCTGTGGATCACACCTCGTTTTGTCTGGTCTGTTTTTGTCATCCTACATCTCAGCATATCATTTTCAAGAAAATTGTATGGTGAGAATCCTTTCTTGGAAGTCTGAAAGTTAAGTGACATTTTTTTGGAGAGTACCCTCTGTGACTGACAGTGACATTAACATAGCGTCATAGCCTGAATTTAATTATCATGACCAGAGGTTTTATATGCTTGCACCAGGGGTGTACTTTCCTTCTCAGTGAGCGATTTACATTGTTCATTATATTTTTCAACTTCTGAAATGTGGGGATAATCTAGTGAAAGCTTGCTTTTGATGTATTTATTTGAGGAAAGTAATGAGGAACAACCATTTTTGATAGGAAATTGGGTGGGGAGTGGATGTGAAGCCACAGGCAGACAGAAATATGGACATGGTAGGTAAATGGGAGTAGGAGGAGGTCCAGGGGTAAGTATGAGTTAGGAGCTGTGGATTGGTACAGGATTAGGTAAAGGAGTAGGTACAAGTGGAGGTTCAAGAATGGGTGTATGTATAAGGGTAAGAGAAGGATGAGGAGCAAGTTAAGATTTAGGTTAGCTGTAACTTATTTGGGCAAGGCCATGCCATGCCAGGCCAGGCCAGGCCAGGCCAGGCCTAGCCAGGTCATCCAGGTCAGGTCAGGTCAGGGTGGGTTAGGTATGCATTGGGCAGATGCTGGTGAATGGCCTGTACCCAGATGGAGGTGGGCATTATTGAGAACATGGTGATGTATTTTGATTTTCCTATTATTTTGTCTTGCATTTCATCATCTGACAGTGCATTGTTCATCATGGAGTTAGGTTATATTAGCTGTTCTGAATGATTTTTTTTATTTTAGATAACCTCACCACAATATTAATAAACATATCTAGCTTTCCATGACATTGGCCCCTGCAGATTTGTATACAGGAGCACTCTGTCTGGCAGTGACAGCAAAAGGACAGTAGTACATGCCATTATGTTTAAAGTGTTTTACAATGTGGATTGCGCTTGGTGTGTGCAAGGCCCTATCTTGCCTACCCCCTTTGCTGGCTGTGCTTCATCATCATTACTGCAGTGATGATTGGGTTCATACCCTCTGCATATTTCAGGCTGCCATCCATCAACCATGTCATCTAGATGGTCTGGCAGCTTTAAGTACCACAGCTTGTGCAGCTCTAAACGTGGCAAGCATGGTGATGGCAGCTGGGTGGGTCACAGAGATGGCCGCAGCCGGTCACCACATGCCTCGCATGACAGAGCTCGGCTGGGGGATGACGGCCAGTCGTCGGCCTCGGGGCGACGCCCCGCGGCCCAGCCGGAGTCGCGAGGCTTCAGCGAGTCCCGCGAGAGGGCGTACATCACCGAGTACCTGGATTCGGGCGAGTGCCTGCTGGCGCGTGGCTCGGAGGAGCACGCCGCCTTTTGGTCCTTCCATGCCATGTACGTGCGCAAGCTGACGTCGTCGGCCCGGTCCGCCGGTGCGGCGGACCGGGCCGGGTCGCCGGGACGCCGCGGGGACGACCCCTTCCCGCTGCCGCCGTACGACATCGGGCACTGCAACCCGCTGCGGATCCAGCGACCGATCCGGGACAAGCGGGATGCGCGCGAGTTGGAGCGGGAGGAGCGTGAACGGCGCGAGCCGGAGGCCAGGCGCGCCAAGCAGATCCTCGCCGCTTACCTACAGTTCCTGCAGAAGCAGAAGTTCGCCAAGCTCAAGAAGTTGCGCGACGCCCAGAGAAACCTTCCGATCTTTCAGCACAAGTGAGTCGGGCTCGCGACTGTAGTGCATCTGTTGACGGGAGGGAGGGAGGGAGGCAGGGAGGCAGGGAGAAGAGGGGAGTTGAAGGTGCTCAGAAAATATACGCCCGTGCCTTTGCTATCCGTTGCTCTCCCCGGCCGCGCGCAGACCATCTGCGTCAGGGAGCGTCCACGCGCATGCCGTTCACTACCATGCAACCCCCTCTGCCAGGGACGAGATCTTGTCGGCGATCGGGGACAACCAGGTGGTGATCGTGGCGGGGGACACCGGCTGCGGCAAGTCCACCCAGCTACCGCAGTACCTGATCCAGGCCGGCTACAGCAGTGTAGGTGCGTCGGCCGCAACAGCGCGGGCGCAAGCCGCTCGCGGCAGCGCCCATGTCGACTGGACCCCATCAGCACTCCATAGGCGTGCTTGTGTATGTGTCTCCGGTCACTGAGCGCGTCTGGATTGCCCGACTTGGCCAGGAATCGAGACCGGGAAATTCAGCTGCAGGACAGATGAAATGGCGGGATTCGATCACAGGAGACAAGCTTAGCAGTGCCATTGCGTGGGACTGAAACGTGGCCTTGTTGGGCCAATGAAATGAGGGGTGTGGAGAAAGGAACGTTTGTGAGACCAGATGATTTAGGAAAAAACATGTTAACAAGAATGAGGGCTACGCAGCCGGCAACATGCACACTGAAACTTGCGTGGTTGACCTGAAGGGCACTACTCGCCTGGCGTTAGGTCATCTGTTGTGGGCAGTCTGCCAGCATTATGTGTAACTGTCTGTCACTGGGACTAGTGATTGTGCTGTGCGTGGATCCAAATAGTTCGGTGGCCGCGTGGGTGACTATCACGGTTTCCCGTGCCATGCCTGTAATGGGCGGGTAGTGGCAGGCGGGTGGCTGTGTGACTGGCTGATATCGGCTCCCAGCAGCGCGCAGGGCGGATGGCTGTGTGACTCGCTGATGTCAGCTCCCAACAGCGCGCAGGGCGGACGGCTGTGCGACTGGCTGATGTCGGCTCTCAGCAGCGCGCAGGGTGGATCGCTGTTTGACTGGGTGATGTCGGCTCTCAACAGCGCGCAGAGTGGATGGCTGTGTGACTGGCTGATGTCGGCACCCGGTAGCGTGCGGGGCGGATGGCTGTGTGACTGGCTGATGTCGGCACGCGGCAGCGTGCGGGGCGGATGGCTGTGTGACCTGTTGGTGTCGGCACCCAGCAGCGCGCTGGGCGGATGGCTATGTGACCTGTTGGTGTCGGCACCCAGCAGCGCGCTGGGCGGATGGCTGTGTGACCTGTTGGTGTCGGCTCCCGGCAGCGTGCACGCAGCCGCGCAGGATCGCGTGCATCTCACTGTGCCAGCGAGTCAGCTTCGAGACCCTGCAGCAGCACGGAGATCAGATCGGATATCAGATCCGCTTCGACAAGCGGCGCACAACGCAAACCAGAGTCGTCTTCATGACTGAGGGCCTTCTGCTGCGACAGGTGAGGTTTGGGATTCTCGTGCTGTAGCAGGTTAGGTCGTATGGCCTCTTGCTCTGCCAGGCGAGGTTTGGGAGTCTCCTGCCGCGACAGGCGAGGTCATAGGACCTCCTGCTGTGGTAGGTGTGACCATAGTGCCTCCCACTGCGACAGGTGAGGTTTGGGCGCTTTTTGCTGCGACAGGTGAGGTCATAGAGCTTCCCGCTGTGCCAGGTGAGATTTGAGTGTCCCTTACACCAAAAGGTGAAGACTGAGGGCATTGCACTGCGAAAGATGATGTTGGATCTGCTGCTGCGATAGGTAGAGTCTTTGGACCCCGCGCGGTGACAGGACATGATGATTTGGAATTCTCCTTCGTGCCATGCGAGGACTGATGACACCCTGCCGCGACAGTTGGGGACTGAGGGCCTCCCACTGCGTCAGGAAAGCCTCACCCCACCTCAGGTGGTGGCTGCTCCTGTGCTGACTGTGTGATGCCACGCCCGCCCCAGGTAACGGCTGACCCCCTGCTGAGCCAGTATGACGTCATCGTGCTGGACGAGGTGCACGAGCGCCACCTGCAGGGCGACTTTCTGCTGGGTGTGATGAAGTGCCTGATTCTACAGCGGCCCGGGCTCCGCATGGTGCTCATGTCGGCCACCATCAACATTCAGCTGTTTAGCGACTACTTCCACGGTCGGGCGCCGGTGAGAAATTTCGCTCCGCGCATGCGCCAGCGGTGAGGTGGCGCGGGTAACAGAGTGTCGAGCTCTGTGGAGGACGCGACACCGGCGGGAGCCTCGCACTAGCTCTACGTAACATGTCCGCTGGTATGAGCCTCGTCATCTGAGCCAACTCGTACATATCAGTCTTATTATGATAAGCAGCTGCCACAGACATGTGATTCAACCAGGTCATGCCGACAGGTTCATCACTCGGCACATTTGTATGACGAGGCCTGCTTGTGGAGCCAGCTGAGGGGCCCTCCCAGGCCGGCAGTTCTCTCTGTATGGACGCCGGTTTTGTGTCGCTGTGACTGGTGCTGTGTGTCCAGGTGATTCAGATACCAGGCCGGCTCTTCCCCATCCAGCTGTTGTACCGACCCATCTCTGTGGTGGAGGCGGTCTCCAGGTGAGAAGGAGGGGGGGGGGGGGGGGGGGGAGGGGGGGAGGGGCGCGCATAGGCCATCGCAAACAGCATCCTAGTATGTATGGGGCTCGACGCCCTGTCGTGTCCAAGTCAGTCCTGGGAAAGCCTGCTGTATATAGGGTTGTATATTCCCCTAAAGCCGTAATGTGGCGGGGATGTCATTGTTTGTGTACCGTAATGCACT